CCCGTGTACTGAGCCCACACGTCAAACAAGTACCCATGGTTTGTCAATCTCTTCGACCAAACCCCTTATCGGTTCGATTCAACCAACTAACCATGGGGTTGGGGTTAAAGTGCCAAGTGTTCAAGTATTCATGATTTGGGTTCGAAACCCCAAGTGTTCAAGTATTCACAAGTGGTGTCATTGGCTGTCACCCAACGCTCAAACATGTTACGATTGGAGACGTTAGCTGTCACCTGATGCTCCGGTATTGAAGCATGTCACGAGTTCAAGTCACTGGTAAACAGGTTAGGAAATTCTTTCTTTACCCAAAACTATCCAACCTACCCGGATCAGGGTTCCAACAAAAGGTTCAGTTCAGTCGATGCGATAAAGTACACATCAGGCCTACATTCACACATACGCATGAGCAACTCAAGATTGTCCAACCTAGATAGGGGTTCCAACAAAGGGCTCAGTTCAGCCGTTGTCGGCCTACATTCATGCATATGCATGATTAACCCAAAGTTGTCCAACTTACCCGACGTCTCGGATAAGGGTTCTAGCGAAGAGCTCAATTCAACCGTTGCAAGAAGATATACAGCCGGCCTATACTCATGCATATGTACATTCAAGTTCGCATGCAGGATCATGTAATTCAAGTTCATGGAGGTCAAGTGTAAATAAGTACACACTTGCCTAGCCAAGATCAAGTCAAGTAAGCTCAGCATGTCAAGTATGTCAAGCATTTCAAGTATTTCAAGGTCAAGTGTTTCAAGTCAAACCACAAGTCATATGTATATCAAGTTACTTGTACATGCATATCCATTCACATAAAAACAAGATATCAAGAGCTCAGTCAAGTTAAGTCGAGTACGATAAAATACACACTTGCCTATGCAATAACGACTCAGGATCCCTAGCAATTTCTAACAACAAGTTATATTTGATCAGCAAGTAACATGGAACATGCAGTTGGAACATTCACTAATTGACCACAATCTTTCCACTTCAAACCCTGGTTCCTTCTCTTGGTTATTTCCAAGTCCTATGGTCATATCATACATCAAGAGTCTAGCCACTTCATGCTAGTATAAATGCAAAACTATGAGCGTCGAAGCTTCACTTAGCAAACAAAGTAATTTGCAGGTTTAAACCCCATATAGTTTGTCAAAAGTGCAAAGTTTTCTTTCAAATCTGGGGAAAAACCATCATGCATGATAACACAAGCAACATATAGAGTACAAGGACATCACTTATAGTCAAAATTTTAACAAAAATGGGACAAGACCTTTGAGGTGCAAAGCTGGCAAATTCAAGCAAGAAACATGTTGGAGAAAACTCATTTCTTCCTCTTGTCCCTCTTTGTTTTGGCTCAAACCAACATACATATGAAAATAAAAGTCTTGGCAAGTATCTTGAGCAAATGTATGTCAAAATTAGCATACAAATTCTAGCAATAAAGTCGCAATTTCTCCCTCGCCCTCTTGGCTAACCCAAGTAAAATTTCCAGCAAGGTTGTCCCAAATTTGTCTATCAAAACTTCCAATGTTCAACCTTATTCTCATGGCAAAACACAATAAATCATGGCTAGCATAGCATGTGTCACATGGGACATATCCTTAGCAAAAACAATCCATCATACTTACACATATACAAAACTTTCACTAAGCTATTCACTTCTTACACCAATCTAACAAGTTCATGACACCAAAACTAACAAGTTCATGGCAATTACTCTATAACTTGAGCCAACCCTACTTCCATGGCAAATATACATGTTTTAGACAAGGAAATCTGGCAAACTTTCACATATATAAAGCTCTCAACTAAACTATCTAGATCTTGCATCAAAGCTGGAAATTTCAATAACACTTAACAAAACCATGAAATCTTCCATAAACATGTTTCATTTAGCTTCTATTATCTCATATATCAACTAACCCCAAAATAAAGGAAGAAAACTAGAAGTTCTAGCAAAGTTCACTTCTTTACCTCCAAACCCAAGGATGGCAAGCAAATCAAGGAAGATGCAAAACTTTCTTCCCCCAAAAACTCCACCATGAACTTCCCTCCAAACTTCACTCAAGATCTATCGGAGTAAATTAGGGTTGATCTTGGGATTTCTCATGGATCAAGCAAGAAATTAAGGCTAGAAATGAAGTATTTTCTCTCTCCTTTCCTCTCTAAAATTTCATCCAAGCTATGCAAGAAAGAAGGAAAATGAAAGTTTGGTCTTGGTCAAGGGTCTTTGGATGCTTGACAAGTGGTAAAGCAAAACTAATGTCAATCCATGTGTCTCCATTCACTATACTGTATAACTCTCCTCCAATTAACTTTTAACACCTCTTATCACATAATTTATTTTGCACAAAACTCCTTCTAATCCTCCAAATTTATTGCACATACCTCACTAATTGGTCACACTAGTATTATACACTATGAAACTTAACATGCATCAAATTAAATATGCACCAAGTTAAATAAGGTAATAGAGTTAAAACATACCTCAACCATTAAATCAACCATAAATTCAAAACAAGTAAGTTAAATGAACAAAAATGTAGAAAATAAATTTTCAGGTCCTCACAAAATGGACAAGTATTGACTAGCTGTTAACAAGTAAAGTACAAATATGAATCAGCAGGTGACAAAGTGCTGGAGGCGTATGAAGATGACACCTCACTCGAGACCTCGAGGTCTCAGGTTGCAAACTTGCATGTTGCAATATGGTTACAATGTCTGCCAAACCCACTAAACAATATAAATACCCAACCAAAATTGAAGGTAAGGGGATTTTATTTTCCTTCCATCATTCAATACTAAAAAAATTCTTCCCACTTATTTCTCTTACTGACTTAAGTGTCACAATTGATTTCGAGTGAAAAAGCCAAGTTCTTTTTCAAGTCTACGAAGTTAAACAAGAAGTAAGATTATCAAATCAATCACAAGTAGGTGCAACCTTTTGGTTTGCATATAACATTCTAAACTAATTCCAAAAAATACAATCTACCAAACATGTGGATCAGTTAAATCTACTGAAAAATTTGGAGCACAATTAAAGTAAATTGGTCCATTACATACATTTGTTTGAATCATAGATAAAAGTGAAGTTTTATATCTTTTAAGTCTTGTGTCTCTTAAAACTAAATATATAGGAGCATCTACTCCTAGATGGAATAAAGGTTTTATTGCAACCTGAATTAATCCTATATGAATATATCTATATCCTTTACTAAGATACTTTTGAATTGTATTATGATTTAATAATGGAATGGATTGATATTCTTCTTGAATAGATATTGTTTTTTTATGAGTTTTAACGGATAAAGCTGTTTTGAAATCTAAGGGACGTATTATGTAAATATGTTCTATTTTTTCTTCGGGAATAGTCCAATCTGAAATATTTATAGGTATATGATATTCATTTACAAGGTGATGAATTTGAAAAACATACAAAGAATTTTGCTGTAATTTACAGAATATTTTTTAGACCTTTGTCTTCACAATTAAATCCAAAATTCATTATGACTCCAACTTTAAAATAAGAAACAACATTATTACAGGTTGATGTAGATAGACCTACTACTTATACTCCAAAAGACTAACCTTTTATACAGAGAAGAGACAGCAGTTTCTGGTGTTCTGTTTGAATGAACAAGATGACCATTTTCTAAATTGCAATTTTAGTTCCCGGATGTTACCTTTTTTGTGTTTTGACTCCATTGTTTCTCTGATTTTCAATTTAACCCTGTAAATTGAGTTCAAAAGTTTTCCCTAGGTCTAAAAAAGTCAAAATTGGTGCGATTATGTTTAACTTAAGGCCTAGTTGGCTAAGTTTTAGACTTCATAGTTCATTTTCCATAGTTTGGCTTTGTTAGTTTAATTGACTTTAATCAATTCTGTAGTCATCTTTCTGAGAATTGATGCGTACCCAAAATGGTATTGACGATATTGTATTGACATTATCTCTTTCTTTAGTTGCATTTTTGTTCTGTGTAATCATGTGTGTCTAGCGCATAATTTCTTGGCTTTTCCTACGGACACTTGGAATTTGTCACTTGTGTTTTTATTTGCTTTGTTTTTGTGTTGTGCATGTTTAAGCTTGTGTTAATTAATCCATGTTGAGTGTTTACCTTAAATTAACTCATTTTTGCCCCTAAAACTAGAAGAATGAAATTAAACTTGCTGCCGGTTTTAGCCAGGGATGTGCTTGATGACAACACTTTGACCATCCTCCCTCACAACTGAGCTCTCAAATTCATTTTCTTGTTTTCCTAAGACTTAGAGTTGCCAAGGTAAAGGGTTTTAGCCTTCACTTCAAAAAATTAAAATATTTATACCATGTAGGTAACTGGGCACTACTAGAATCTGTAAACCATTGTATTTTCAAAGTCCCATTTAGGCCATTTTGTCTTTTTTGTTTTGAAAATCAAAAACCCGAAAATCACTTTTAAAGCATTGGTACAACAGAGCCTTGTGCAGTTGGAGAAACTTTCAAGAGAAAATTAATTTCTGATTTTTTTTAAATTTAGAACAATATGAAATCAGAGCCCGTAATCTTTTTGTTCCACTGATATTCATTGTGACAGCTTGTTTGTGAGTCAATGCCAAGCTGCGAATAAATAGTGTCTAAATATTTCATGTGACCTATCATTTTGACTAATACACATGATAGTATTTCCAGCATGAGGCCCAGTTGAGGCACCAAATTGGAGGTTGAAGATCTAATGTGGAACGCAAGATTGTCTGTTTGTGACCTGTAATAAACCACACACATGCAAATTCCTACATTTCAATTTCGCTGAGAACTGGTTTGGTTGGTTCTTAAAGGTTGCATTTCCTATTTGGATACCAAAATTATTCCAAATAATATTTTGCTTGCATTACAAACATATTTCCCAACCTATCTTTTTATATTTCCAATCACCTTTTTATCTCAAATACATTATATCACAGAAAGTGCTACAGTAATTATTCCAAATAATATTTCAAATAATACACTGTCCAAACAAACCCACTATTTGTACGCCAATGGAATCCCAGACCCCTCCTCTTTCTTCTGCTTCAAATGAACAAACCACAAAAGAAGAACTCAACATTCAATTTCAAACCCCAAAATCTTCTTCTTCGTCTCCTTTTTCTGCAGTAGTAAATATTAGGCTATGGAGGCCAGCAGCGCAGCGAAACCTTAGAAACCAATGGTCGAAGTTGGCTTCTTTATGGCAAGATTGGCAGTCTTGCTCGTCCGCTACTCGCTCTCAAGCCACTACTCTTGTCAACTCCTATCTCTCCCAGAAGTACAGTAAAAAGCCAACATTTATTAATATTCTTAACAATATACAGAAAATCTTTTATTAAACCTAGTGTTTTATCTAAAATGGGGATTGTTTTTTTGGTTTTACAGGTATATGGATGCGATGGATTTGGGAATTTTGAGTGGCATGCTAAGTATTCGGAAAAAAGCCTCTTCGAAGTTGTTTAAGCAACAAGTTAGTGTGTTTGCTAAAAACTTGGTTTCTTTTCTTTTAAACAGCTTTTATTGAAAATAGTGATTGAGATAGAGCCTTTGGTTGCTTTTGTGAAGAACTAACTTAGGAGAAATTAGGTTTGGTTTTCGCAAATTTGTGCTTGTTTAGATGAAATGGTCTAGACAATGGTTATAGTAGTATCTGTAGAGTGCTGTTATAGGAAATTATGTGTGATCTGGTGTACAGTTATCAATTAAGGCTATGTTTGGTTTGTTTATGGGAATTGGATTTGCATTGAATTTGATGTACTGTTAGTAATGTGACTTGAGTAATTCGGTCTAATTTCAATTCTCATGTGGAACCAAAATGCCCAGAAGGGTGCATTCAAAATTTGACATTTTATGCTTTGTATATGGGCTTGAAGGAACAGAGTTGATGGTAAGAAATTTTTGCACTTACCAGGATTGCTTTGTTAATTTATCACTCTCTCTAAACTTGTATGTGGTGACCTCAACTGTAGCTATGTGTGATGTTGTTGATAAATGTGTAAATATCAAGCACTATTGGATCAAGCGTTTTGTGAGCTTGAGTATATTTGCATTTCCACATATTCATTGATTGTTCATTAGGTTCTTTTCATGCCAGGCTTTGATAGGATTTGGCAGGGTCAATGCCAGAAAAACATACAATTCCTTAAAACTGTTGTGTTTGGCTGTTGGGTTTGTTATGGTACATCAGTATCATACCTTGCAAAGAATTATTGGAGGAAATAGAGAAGAGAACCTGCTTTTCTATTTTTTTTTTTTTAACTACTTTGATTGCTGAGGTCAACGTAGAGAGAAGCAGGTAGATAATCTGAGGTCGTGAGTCTATTTTCTTAAAGTTATCCTACTCTTGAGGATCAAGAGTCACAGATTAATAAAAGGCTTGTGGGAGTCCATTCAAAAAATTGCAGAAATTATTATGCCCAATGAATGTCTTCAAAACTCACCTTAATGGGGAAGGTAAGGTGGGGGCCATTGCTTGATTAGAATGTTAAGCCATCAAAACTGAGATAATGCCAAAAGTTCCCATAATTGAGATATAAGAACTCATAGAACAATTTAACATTATGGCATTGCTTTAGTGCAGTAATTTCATTCATTTGTATACAGGGTGGATGAAATATTTGCTAGCACAGGAGCTGAAATGCACGTGACTCTTTCTTGAAGTTGTGGTGCTGGAGTTAATGCAAAAGGGAGGGCATGCTTCTAAATGTCCACAGCAATACTACCAGGTTCCTTCATGACAGCAAGTCAACCTTCGATACTTGGAAAGTCTTGGGAAGATCGAAAATGTAGATTTCTCAGTACTCAATTGATAGCAAGATTGACATGCTCTGATTTCAAGCTCAGTAGACATCTCCAAGACATTGTGACCAAATGAGAACAAATGATGAAGATATAAAAATCTGAGCGTTTTTTCACTTGCACTTGGCATGACTAGAGATTGGGCTGTCTTTTGAAATCAAAATTTTGCGTTGGGCTCAACATGGTTAAGGTGTCTGAATAGCCATTCTTTCATTTCAACAAAGGGATTTGATGCCTTCTGCTTGCAATATCTTAGTTGTTTTGACTTCTTTTTGCTTCTCACGCAAAAAGATTGAGGTTTGTTCCTTAAAGAAAAGGAGGTAGATTAGCTCCTTATTACTTGAGCCCTTTCTTCCCAGTTGTAACGAGTAGTCTATTTATCGGGGGTATCAACCTCCTGGTATGCTCAAGTATGGTAAGAAAACTGGTAGTGAATTCCCAGATGTTTGTGTTGATCTGAAGTCTGACAGGAATGGCAATTAATTTAGAGATGCAGGATCATGCTTGTTGCTTTGATTTGTGTCCATATTGGCGAATATTTAGAGTTGACTGTAAGGACAATCAAAAAATGGTTTGCTTAGAGGATGAAATCCCAAGTTACAGCAGGGTTTTACTAAGACGAGATAATAAGGAAAAGATTGGCAACCAATATATGTATTGATAGAGGATATTTTATTGCCTAAACAAAACAATTTTCAACAGTTATAGGGTTGCTACTTAAAAACTCCAGAGGCAAAGTGAAGTCAATTGTGCCTAACTGCTTCTGTACATCAAGCATGCGAACCTCCAGAGTTGGAGGAGTAATATAATAAGCTATAATTTTCTTCTAAAACTTGTCATAGGCAGCTCTCTCTCTCTCGGTTTTTACAGCCGTCGTTATATTACAATATCCATCAATCAAATTCAGTTAGCAGTTCTTTCTGTTGGTCTCTACATACATGAAAAATATCACGAGAAATGTAGTCAATAAATGGATTCATTCCAAACCCAGGATATCCGAATCCGAATCCGATTCCGATGTGCGAACCAAACGCCACCTTAACTAGAGAAAATATTAGACAGGTTAAGAAGATCATGATGCAGGGCTAATAAACACTTGGAATACCTCCAAATTACGGGCCATTTTTTTTATTGGGTTGCATTTCTTTTCCATTTATTGACTACATTCCTCGTGATATTTTTCATGTATGTAGAGACCAACAGAAAGAACTGCTAACTGAATTTGATTGGTGAATATTGTAATATAACGACGGCTGTAAAAATCGAGAGAGAGAAAGCTGCCTATGACAAGTTTTAGAAGAAAATTATAGCTTATTATATTACTCCTCCAACTCTAGAGGTTCGCATGCTTGATGTACAGAAGCAGTTAGGCACAATTGACTTCACTTTGCCTCTGGAGTTTTTAAGTAGCAACCCTATAACTGTTGAAAATTGTTTTGTTTAGGCAATAAAATATCCTCTATCAATACATATATTGGTTGCCAATCTTTTCCTTATTATCTCGTCTTAGTAAAACCCTGCTGTAACTTGGGATTTCATCCGCTAAGCAAACCATTTTTTGATTGTCCTTACAGTCAGCTCTAAATATTCGCCAATATGGACACAAATCAAAGCAACAAGCATGATCCTGCATCTCTAAATTAATTGGCATTCCTGTCAGACTTCAGATCAACAAACATCTGGGAATTCACTACCAGTTTTCTTACCATACTTGAGCATACCAGGAGGTTGATACCCCCGATAAATAGACTACTCGTTACAACTGGGAAGAAAGGGCTCAAGTAATAAGGAGCTAATCTACCTCCTTTTCTTTAAGGAACAAACCTCAATCTTTTTGCGTGAGAAGCAAAAAGAAGTCAAAACAACTGAGATATTGCAGGCAGAAGGCATCAAATCCCTTTGTTGAAATGAAAGAATGGCTATTCAGACACCTTAACCATGTTGAGCCCAACGCAAAATTTTGATTTCAAAAGACAGCCCAATCTCTAGTCATGCCAAGTGCAAGTGAAAAAACGCTCAGATTTCTATATCTTCATCATTTGTTCTCATTTGGTCACAATGTCTTGGAGATGTCTACTGAGCTTGAAATCAGAGCATGTCAATCTTGCTATCAATTGAGTACTGAGAAATCTACATTTTCGATCTTCCCAAGGCTTTCCAAGTATCGAAGGTTGACTTGCTGTCATGAAGGAACCTGGTAGTATTGCTGTGGACATTTAGAAGCATGCCCTCCCTTTTGCATTAACTCCAGCACCACAACTTCAAGAAAGAGTCACGTGCATTTCAGCTCCTGTGCTAGCAAATATTTCATCCACCCTGTATACAAATGAATGAAATTACTGCACTAAAGCAATGCCATAATGTTAAATTGTTCTATGAGTTCTTATATCTCAATTATGGGAACTTTTGGCATTATCTCAGTTTTGATGGCTTAACATTCTAATCAAGCAATGGCCCCCACCTTACCTTCCCCATTAAGGTGAGTTTTGAAGACATTCATTGGGCATAATAATTTCTGCAATTTTTTGAATGGACTCCCACAAGCCTTTTATTAATCTGTGACTCTTGATCCTCAAGAGTAGGATATATTCTAGCTGCTATTAACTTTAAGAAAATAGACTCACGACCTCAGATTATCTACCTGCTTCTCTCTACGTTGACCTCAGCAATCAAAGTAGTTAAATAAATCTGCAAGAAAGGTGATCAATTTACATGTGTGAGAGAGAGATAAGTGATAATGAATTCGACGGACAAGTAAATCATAATGTTCAATTTTTTCTTTTTTCATAACTGATAAGTAGTGCAATAAGTAAACTTCATTCCTTCATCTATCTTATTTGATTAGTCAGCGTAACAAAGATTCTGCCTCAATGTACATTCCTTCATGATTATCCTGATTAGAAAAGTCACATTTGCAAAGAGCCTGATTTCCTAATTTTTAGTAACTCAAGTTTGAAGGTCTTTAATTCCATCTTTAAAAGCATCACAATTTCAGGATTTCCACTCGCTAATCAGTTAAGTTTTAATAATATGCATCCATTTCTGCTATAATCTCAACACCATGGATTTGGGGAGCAAGATGACAAGAAATCAAACATTGTAACATCATATCTCTAGGCAGCTTCAAAGAAAAATGTCAAATGACCATATATTTGGCAGAACACATCATTATAAACAGTGGTTGAGATGTCAAATTACTGTCTTGCTAAGGTAATTGTAACCAATCTGCTTTGAAACAAGTGATCCCAGTGTAATGCAAACAAATTAAGTGCATATTGCACATAGGCAAACCACTACAAATAAATTGTTTTGAGATGTGTATAGACACTTTGACATTAGAAAAGTAAATACTATTCATATACCTGTAAAACATTCCGGTCTTGTTGATGCCTAGGTTGAAAAGATTCAACTTCGCCTTTCCCAAGGCTTGGAAGAACTGGCTTGCTAGCTCCATGTGAATACAAGGAACATGTATGCAGATCATCAAATTCTCCTGGATAAAGTTCATCTGACCAACACAAGCTACTGAGATCTGGAATTCTTTCATCACCCAAGGAAAGCAGCTCCATGACAAGCAACCTCTGTGTATATATATATATATAATTCAAGAAGAATAAGCATAAGATCAGTAACACAAATTAGAAGTATGAATTACAAACCAAGAAAAGCTTGTTGAAAGCCAGCCACCTCCATACTTCACCTTCAAGTTTAGCTCTGATACAAATATCTGAACAAGGTCCTGTGCTACTTTTTCTGAAGAAGAAAAATAAAAGCTAATTATCATAAAGACATCAATTAATAGAGTGAGACCATGATAAGTTGGTAAAAATTTTGCAAGAATGACAAATAGGCAAGCTCTGAACAGCATCACACCTTCACATCTTTGCAAAAGCAGGTAAAAAAGATACAAGACTAAAAATCAGAAACATATGTTATACAACTCAGAAATCTACATTTTAACTGTTTCGACAACATTAGAAAGAAACTTGTTGAAAAAAAGAAAAGCAAAAAAATTTGACATCCACAAAAGAAAATTTACATGTCCCATGCCTTTAGCCCAGGTACACTTGCAATCATGTTAGCAATTGTTGTTCATCGTACATATAAATAACCAGATAAGTTTTAATAATTTTTCTCAAATGCTGTATTTCATAGATTGTTTTGCACCACAATGAAGAGAAGAATAGATCTATTGCTCTGATGGACAATCAAGAATCAATATACTAGAAAGAAGCAATTCTTCATTGGCATATGCAGTAGACATACCAAAAAGAGAGATTGGCCAAAACGTGAAGACTGGGGCTCCCCCACCATCACCAGTATCATTCTCATTTTCAGAAGAGAGAGAAAACTGAGCCAAGGGGCTATTGGTTGTTCCTTTCAGATAGCACCTCATAGATCTAGATGTGTTCACCATCTGAGTTACAACGCCTACCTGTTATGATAGAGCTTGCCAATTTACTTCCACATAAACCACTAAAGCACCCAAAAAAGGACATAATAAAGTTGGTACAGAGAGAGAAGTAAAAGAGAGTTGTTGCCCTTGTTCTCAAGCATCCACACATTAAAGAGATCAGTATTACTGCAAAACTGTGCATTCATTTATTTAATGCTTTTCAAACATCTGGCAGTGATTAATAAACATTACAATGTACAAAAATGAAGATAGGTTAGTAATTGCACAAAGACGAGAATAAGATGAAGAAGACAAGTCAAAAACATTTTAAAATAGAAAATCTTCTATCCCTGAGACCTAATAAACTGAAAATTTCAAGACTGATAAAGTAGATTAATCTTCATAAGTGGGGTGTTGATCTTGAAACATGGAGAAGTCACAGTAAGTCACTTGAAATTCTGGAAAGCTGTATGCAATCTATCTTGTTCCCAAGAAAGCAAATCATGCAAATCCTCCCACATAATTATAATTGCTGAAGTTGTGCAAGGCCCATAGTACTAAAGGAGTTCATTTGCAGACATAGGGCAGTGCATTTTGCTAATTGACTAAGCAGAAACTATAAAAGCAGATGAAGTCAATAAAAGAAAAAAAAACATTTTGCATAAAACCAATCAGTATTAAGTATGCGTACCATATCTTTGTATGATGCCAAGAGTTTATTATGCTGAATCTCCTACAAAGAAAGGGCAGGGCAGGAGGCAGGGAAAAAGAAACTGATAAGCATTTACTAAGCATTGTAGTATTACAAAGATTTATATTCGCATTAATATGGAAGATAGTATATTTTTACTAAGCCCATTTCACATTAGATTAGCTTCCAATATTGGAGACTGAAGGACAAGTTCTCATGGATACCAAAAGCTATTCACATTTATGTACCTTTCAACATGAAAACCGGAAAAGAAAAGTATAAGAACAAATAAACATGTAAATTTTGTGAATAAACCAAATATCAATTAAAAAAAATAGAAAAGCAGGTTCTCTTCTCTATTTCCTCCAATAATTCTTTGCAAGGTATGATACTGATGTACCATAACAAACCCAACAGCCAAACACAACAGTTTTAAGGAATTGAATGTTTTTCTGGCATTGACCCTGCCAAATCCTATCAAAGCCTGGCATGAAAAGAACCTAATGAACAATCAATGAATATGTGGAAATGCAAATATACTCAAGCTCACAAAACGCTTGATCCAATAGTGCTTGATATTTACACATTTATCAACAACATCACACATAGCTACAGTTGAGGTCACCACATACAAGTTTAGAGAGAGTGATAAATTAACAAAGCAATCCTGGTAAGTGCAAAAATTTCTTACCATCAACTCTGTTCCTTCAAGCCCATATACAAAGCATAAAATGTCAAATTTTGAATGCACCCTTCTGTGCATTTTGGTTCCACATGAGAATTGAAATTAGACTGAATTACTCAAGTCACATTACTAACAGTACATCAAATTCAATGCAAATCCAATTCCCATAAACAAACCAAACATAGCCTTAATTGATAACTGTACACCAGATCACACATAATTTCCTATAACAGCACTCTACAGATACTACTATAACCATTGTCTAGACCATTTCATCTAAACAAGCACAAATTTGCGAAAACCAAACCTAATTTCTCCTAAGTTAGTTCTTCACAAAAGCAACCAAAGGCTCTATCTCAATCACTATTTTCAATAAAAGCTGTTTAAAAGAAAAGAAACCAAGTTTTTAGCAAACACACTAACTTGTTGCTTAAACAACTTCGAAGAGGCTTTTTTCCGAATACTTAGCATGCCACTCAAAATTCCCAAATCCATCGCATCCATATACCTGTAAAACCAAAAAAACAATCCCCATTTTAGATAAAACACTAGGTTTAATAAAAGATTTTCTGTATATTGTTAAGAATATTAATAAATGCTGGCTTTTTACTGTACTTCTGGGAGAGATAGGAGTTGACAAGAGTAGTGGCTTGAGAGCGAGTAGCGGACGAGCAAGACTGCCAATCTTGCCATAAAGAAGCCAACTTCGACCATTGGTTTCTAAGGTTTCGCTGCGCTGCTGGCCTCCATAGCCTAATGTTTACTACTGCAGAAAAAGGAGACGAAGAAGAAGATTTTGGGGTTTGAAATTGAATGTTGAGTTCTTCTTTTGTGGTTTGTTCATTTGAAGCAGAAGAAAGAGGAGGGGTCTGGGATTCCATTGGCGTACAAATAGTTGTCTGACATGCGTAAGAATCAAAAGCAAAGGAAAATTCCTAAGGAAAAGTCAAAGGAAAAACTAAACTAAAGGAGACAGAAAAATCCTCTACTCCTAATTCTCCTTTCTATCTAGTAGTCTCCTGTGCGGCGGCTCTCCTTCCGGAGAGGAAGAAGAAGACCAGCCCTGCGTTCCTTTTTCTTCTTTTTATACTGTCTTCCGCCCTCATCAGCAATTACCAAGATGGGAACAAATTTTTCTTTGCCAACTATGCCCCTCGGATAAGCTCTATGACTTGGAATCTTTTTCTGTTAAATTGACATTTGTTATCATATTTTTGTTCTACTCCCTGAAATAAATGCAAAACACTAAAAGTGAATAGAATTTAACAATTAATTCACCTTGAATTAGGTAATAGGGGAAATTAACAATAAAATAAATGATAAAATTATAACCTATCAACGACTACTGGGGAGTTGGGACACAATATGTTAGCTCTACTTACCAATTAGCTGATATTTTTTTTAAAAGCTTTTGCACCGCTTATTTTCATGTTTGAGGTTTCAGGGGGCTGTAGAAGATTAAGATAAACTAATACTATGATTACTAAAAGCTGCTACTTGATTGCAAGGAATCAAAGAGCACTGTGTATCCCTGTAATTTTTATCATTTTTTAGTGCAGTCTCCGCTCTTTTCCACATTAAGTGAGGATTTTAACTTCAGTGAGATCTTCTTGTACCTTTTAGCTAATAATATAAAAACTGAAGCAATGATATGACTTACACACAGACACTAACATCAAACAGAATCATATTTTCAATGCAAAATCTCATACTTATACATGCATGTCCTGATAAGCATTTTCTCCCCAAAAGTGCACAATGATGATCTAATTTATTTATATTTCATGTAGGCAACATGTAAAACTCGTGCTTCATGAGGTCGAAATTTCATAATGAGTGATGTTGATGGCATCTTCGGGTCTTGCTGATGGATGAGTCTTGTTTCTCATTCTCAATGCCTGGTAATCCTTGTAGAAGAACCCCCTGTACTTTGCTGTCTCTCCAATCTCTTTAGTGAATTGTGGCAATGGTTCTACCCACTTGTCTCCTTGTATATTATAGAAGAATGCAAAAGAGTGTCTGCTTCTTCCTTTAGGCCTTACAACTCTGTGAGTTGCACTTTTAAACTTTTTGTTGGTCATCACCTGCAAACACTTTGTGCCTTAGATAACAATAGAAAAAAATGAAAAGAATGTTAAGAAAGTGATATTAATCTTTGACAAGATGAAGCCATTAGAAATCAGAGAAATATGGTGTTCCTGCAAACTACCTACAATTTACCTGAATTGAATCACCTAGATTGACCACTATTTTGCCCAGTTCAGGGATCACTGGAATCCATTCTCCATTCTTGCAAACTTCAAGTCCTCCAGCTTCGTCTTGAACAACGAATGTTACGGTGTTTCCATCTTCATGTGGCGTTATTCCATTGTTCTCAGATTCAGTAGCTGGAAAATAGTGCATAGCCACCATAAAATCCCAGCTCCTATCATTATTGTACTCTTTCAGGAAGTTTTCAGGGAGACCAAGAGAGTCATTCATGATGCTCTCTACCAATTGACCAGCCTTGGTGAAATAACTGAACAACTCTTCCATTGCTTCCCTGGTAATGATAATCAAATTGAACAAAAACAATATGTCAAAGGGTAGGCCTTTCAGAGTAGTAAATATTGATCAAAAGGGACGACCGAAACTAGGGTATCAATTACTTTTAACAGAGCTAAACACACATAATAATCACAATAATAAATGCAGAATTGATATATTCTTGATTCATTGATGAGAATGCTGTGGAATTTACCTGAAATCAGGCGGATTACTGGGCAGTATATTGAAGCCAGTTTCAGGTGGAAACATGAGAATGTATTCATTCTTGTCAGGTGATATCTCAGGCTGCTTGCTATAACCGGCCAGAAGAGGTGCTCCGGCATTAGGATTACACTCGAGCTTCTCCTCATCTGAGAACCTGAAAAATGCCTTTGAGAGCTCCATTGCTCTGCTTAACAAATCCAGGGGTACCCCATGGTTCACAATCTGGAAGAAGCCATATTCAGAGCAGGCTTGGCGAATAATTTCTTTAACTCTCTTCTTGCTGTTCTCAGCATCTTCATTGTTGAAGAAAGGAGAGAGATCAATTGTGGGAATAGCTAAGTTGGCCATCACAATTGGACTTGACTTTTGTTTCTTGCTTTCCCCATTGTAAATTTGAAACCAATCAGTAGTAGCTTCAGGACAGAAGCCCATTCCTACAGGTAAACTATTAGTTAATGAAAAGAAGATTAAAAAATGAACATACCAGTCTGAATACTCTGTCTTCTTTTGCTTTCTTGATACGTGAGATTGATGAGGAAGAATCTACTGATTTTTGCTGTTGCGGTACTTACAGCATAGAGGAGTTCTTTTTTTCTCCTTCTTTCTTTCTTTTCTTTGGGTCTATTTTATGACTTTAACCTGGAGAATCCCTGAATCATCTGTGGTTCATAACAGCAATCTGAAGATTGTAGAAAAATCTGAGCACCAAAAACATTTTGAGTTCACTACTTAGCAGCACTAGAATTTCTTCATGTTGCTTCAATCAGTTGACTTTACTGATCAAACTTTGGTAGTTCTAAATATAAGTACCATTTTTCTGATAGAAAATTTACCGTCTTCATTTGGTATTGTGGTACCATTTCATCTTTCACTGATTATTTGTTGCTTCTTGTCCTCATCAAGGGTAGAATTTGAAGAAAGATGCTTGAAATCTCTACCAGCTATTGATGCTTGTACACTAGTTGATATTTGCAAGACAAGGTTAGAAATGTTAGAGAAATAGGATAATGCTCAATTATTGTATGAAAAACTATTCACCATTTGATATTTTTCTTTTGTTGTGATAATTTGGGGCAGGTAATGGAAAGATTATGTGATAGAACTGCTAATGGACAACATCACTATCTGTGCATTTTATATATTTTTCCTTCATGACGCAAGGTTGACATTAGATTAACTATGAACATCTCAAGATGTAGTCATTAAGTATTTATAAGTGATAATTAATGGATTCTGAACCCCCCCCCCCAACCCAAACCGAAAAAAACACAACAAAAAATAGAAAAGAAAAGATATAGGCACTTGAAAAGATTATTAACACATTAGAGGTGAAAATGTCACTTTCTCCCATTTCTAATGTTCTACAGCATAAACTAATGATATTATGTATTTTATATAATTTTTTTTCCAAATAATCCCCTGTCCAAACGGACCCATAATGTTGTCTTGATGCAGAATTTCAAGCCAGATGACATGTCTAAGGACTCGGGGCAGGGACGGTTGCACCTGCAACCGTCCCTGGCAATTTTCCTCTTCATCAACAGCGCGTAACTTCTTTTGTTCACCGTATAACTTTTTTTTCACAGGCTGTATTTTCACAACAGGTAGTGATGGGCCCCACACATGACGCGGAAATCGAGTTACCACTTGTTATCTGAGCCGCACATTTTTTTGAGGTCCAATCTGGACCATGAACCGTCCCTGCCCCAAATCCTATGTCTAAAGATGTAACAGTCCACTTTATCTTCTTTAAATCAAACTTAGAAACATTGAACACTCGGTGAGTAATCATTAAATCAAACTTAGAAACATTAGACACTTGGTGAGTTATCCAAAAAATGTTCAATTTATTACTACATCATAAACATTTGAGTTTGTTTTGCCTGTATCTAAAAAAAGAGGGTTTGTTTTGCCCCATTTTTCCAATTGAAGGTATTAAATTTCTTTGTTTGTTGGTTGCTTTGATCCTGGGTAGAGATCGAATAGTAGGTGATCTGGATGAGATCTTCAGCTCTGACTTATTATTCCTTTATTCTTAGTTGCATTTATTCCTTGTACATAATTTTGAATTCTCCGAATTTAGGAGATTTTGCAATCTTCTTAGTAAATTTCGTTAATGGCTCAATCCAATTGTCTTCGTGTAAAAGAAAGATATGACCTGTATGTAGGGCTGCAAACGACTTTAGATCTAGTCTTATCAAACTAAAGTTGACTCAATTTACCTAAAGTTGAATTTAATGAGCTATCAATGTAAAATTTGAGCTCAAGCTCAAACTAAAATTTAAGTCTAATCGACCTCAAGTTAGAGCCTAATCAAGCTCAAATAAAAATAAAAAATTTAATTTTTTATATTTTAAAAATGAATAAAATATCTATTTCACCTTAATAAAGAATTAAAATATTAAGAACATACATGTAATTTCACTACTAATAATAAAAGGGTATTAAAAAATATATAAATTCAAGCAAAATCCAATGAGTCGAGTATCTTTATACTCAATGCAACTCATGCTTTAACCGTATTGATTTGTTTGTAGCCTTACTTATAGAACGAGTACTATGGAAAAATGCATGAGAGTGATCGGTTTTTCCTTTTGGCATAATTACCATAGTTATTGATCGGTTCGACCGCCGGGCCGGGTTTTCAATTAGATCGTTTAAGTAATCAACCCGTTGATTAGTCAACGGACCGCCGGTTCGATCGGATTAAACCGAAAACCCGGCCGGTTGTGTCTAAGAACCGGGTTTCATATAAAAATTTAATCAATTAGATCGTTTAAGTAATCAACCCGTTGATTAGTCAACGGACCGCCGGTTCGATCGGATTAAACCGAAAACCCGGCCGGTTGTGTCTAAGAACCGGGTTTCATATAAAAATTTAATGGCAGTGCTGAGAGTCGAACCTGTGCCTCTGGTACAAAGCAACATTGACGAAACCGCTAGGCTACCTTGCGAGATAGTGATAAGGTTGCTTACTTATAATATATAAACATTTCATCAATTTTATCTTTCTGTTTTATTTCTCTAAAACAAATTAATTTGGAATCTTTTAATAATAATTTATGACCCCCAAACTTATGAAATGGACTTAAAAATTAACATGTTACATAATTCATTTTAAAAACATATATTATTTTTAATAATTTTTTGCACTTAAAATTTATAAATAAATTAGATAATTACACTAAACATAGATAAAATTTTATACTTGAAGTTTGGTGTATTACTAAATAACTTTATATTTTATTGATTCTTATATGAATTAATTTTTTATAGCAAATTAAATTATATGAGCATTTGTTATGACATTATTTATTATAATTTATATCATATATCTTATATTTAAAATTATAAAATATAATATTTAAATATATTTAGTGACCCACCGGTTCAACCACCCACCCACTGGTTGAACCAGTAACCCGTTGACCCACCTCGTTCACCGGATTCCCTTCCGGGTTGGGTTTAATAACTATGATAATTACTCTATGATTTGCAATCTTAAACTTGCTATTGCTCGGTACCATAGAAACAAAAATAATCATAGACATAGTAATTTTAATTCATCTAGGGCCACGTTAAAACATATACCAATTGCATAAAGATTAGGAAACAAAGAACTTACTGAGTGACACCACCAACGTGCCTTGAGCATGTGTGACTTGAAATCTACTGCCCATTTTCAGTGCTTCCAAGACTCCTGCTTCATATCCTGGAAAACCAAATTTTGATGCAGTTCCTGTCTACATATGCTGATTATCCATTGTTTTCAGCTTACTCAGCAGGAAAGAAACGTAAACCCATTAGGAAGCCACGGCTCTTATCATTGTTGTATTCCTTTAAGAATTTACGATTCTAAAAACATAATGAGTCTGCTATGGGTCTTATCAAGAAATGCTTCCTTTTTCTTTTTCTTTTTTTTATATTCAAGTTAAAAAGGAGATTTCAAACCTTACAATGATGAAGAGAAAATATGAGAGCTTTGGATTCAAACCAGAAACCTCAAGATCACATTTGGATTCAAGCTAGAAACCTCACGATCACATGGCTAATGTACCTATTAGTTGAACTTGTCCTACGAGTTTAACTGAGTCTTAGAATATTACTTCCCAGGATGGATGCTCTGCTAGGCAGCATTGGCCGATTTAAGGCCACTAAAGATGTTCTTGAAGCCCTGAACAATTGCCACATTTGTCATAATTGTCTGGGCTGGATATGCATTTAACCCCAACCTTCATTAGTTTGATACTTCCTTAACTCGCAGCTGACTTTCATTTTATCATAAAACCAACCCTCATCAATTCAAGACTTATTAATTCTTCCCACATATGTTTATGCAAAAAAACTTGATGTGAAGAAAAGTTTGAGCATATAGGATTTCAGGAGGATTTCCAGGATATACATCAAGCCTGAACTTGGAGTTGGAATAAATAAATGTTCATTTGCCTCTCTGGAGTGGTTTGGATTGTTGAAATAACCAGGTACGTCCGGTCACGGAGATACACCAGGCTCAGGACTAGACTTGATGTTCTCCATAATCGAAGTGCTGAATGTTTCTGTTACAACAGATGCAGCGGAACAGAAGAACAAACAAGAATGTACAAGAACAACTTGGGGGAAATCAGATTTTATTAGGGTTGTAATCGGAATAGTTTACAAACTAATATAAGGTGTATATATATACAACCAAACAGACTGGACCCAAACAGGCCCAAAACAAGACCCGAAATAAAACAGACACGGTAACTGATATATACCGTAAGCTTCGGGGGCGTTGCCCCCGAACCCCCACCGGGGGCAACGCTGCCCCCCGGGCCCCCCAGCCGGGGCGCGTCGCCCCCTGGACCCCCGACTCGCTGACCGGGCAGCGAGACCCCCGTACAGCTCAGCGGGGGTTGAAGATCTAATTCAAGGCATCTCAACAGTTTCACTTCTGGGAGCAATCCCGGCTTATTTCCTCGGTTGCCATTTATTTTGGCAACTTCGTTTTCCTCTATAAAGAAGGGTTCAAGATCAATTGGTGGAACACATAATCCAGCCATGCACGTAGATCAAGTTCACTGCCTTCAAATTTTATCAGTTTGTTTTGGTAATATATAATATACAGCGAAAAGCCACTTGTAAGATGTGTATAAAGGTGATGTCAATGACTGTCAAGAATTTGAAATTGATGGTAAATGCAAATGTTGCTAAGCAAAACAGATAGATAAAATCACTACTTCGAGTATAGACTTCCTATCCCCTTGCACTCTGATCTTTCACTCCTCCTTGAGTTAGCTCTACTCGTGGTCCTCATAGTACAGATAGATGGTTCAGCAAACAAACTTAATGAACGGCTATAACACTTAAAACAAATTCGCATTTAAGAACAATCGTATTAATCGCTGAACCACAGTCAAAGAATGAATCTCTGCATTATCAAGTGAAGAACTTCTTCATGATAATCTTAGCATTACAGAATACAGAAGCAAATGGCCAACATACAGACACTAACATCGATAGAAATCATATTACTCCACTGAAGCAAAACCACATAATCATAAATGCATGTTCTCATACACACGCCCTCCACAAAAAGTTGAAAATGATGACACCGTTTATTTGATTGATATATGTCATATGTAGAAGTCATGGTTCATGATGTAGAAATTGCATAATGAGCAATGCGAATGACATCTTCAGGTCTTGATTGCGGATGAAGTTTGCTTCTCGTTCTTAATTCCAGGTAATCCTTGTAGAAGAACCCCCTGAACTTTGCTGTCTCTCCAATCTCTTCAGTGAATTGTGGCAGTGGTTCGACCCACTTGTCTCCTTGTAAAGTATAGAAGAATGCAAAAGAGTGCCTGCTTCTTCCTTTAGGCCTTACAACTCTATGAGTTGCACTTTTAAACTTGTTGTTGGTCAACACCTGCAAAAATTTTGTGGCTCAGATCAAAATAGGAACAAGAAGTACATGTTATAGAAACTAGTATTGATTTTCTACATGATCATTTCATCAGAAATTGGTAAAAAGTGGGATACTTGCCAACTAGTGCTGTTCATTTTATTTTATTACCTGAATTGAATCACCTATATTGACCACTATTTTGCCAGGCTCAGGGATCACCGGAATCCATTCGCCATTCTTGTAAACTTCTAGGCCCCCTGATTCATCTTGAACGACCAAAGTTATGCAGTTTCCATCTTCGTGTTCTGATGTTCCATTGTTCTCAGTTTCAGTTGCTGCAAAATAGTGCAAAGCCAACATGAAATCCCAGCTCCTATCATGATTGTATTCTTTGAGGAAGTTTTGAGGCAGACCAAGACACACATTGATGAGGCTCTCTATCAATTCACCGGCCTTGGAGAAGTGACTGAACATCTCTTCCATCACATCCCTGGCAACAAGCATCAAAGTGAAGAACAATTATGTTTGAAAATGTAGGCCATTAATTATCGATTGATCTATTTAACACTGTAATTATTGATCAAGAGGGATGAAAAGCAACTGCATGCGGAACTATTATCAGCAACTTTAGACAATTGATATATTTTTCATCAATTCAAGAAATTTGCAGAATATACTTGAACTCAGGTGGATTGCTGGGTAATGTATTGAAACCAGAATCAGGTGGAAACATGATCATGTATTCTTTCTTCTCAGGTGAGAACTCTGGCGCCTTGTTATAACCAGCTGGAAGAGGTGCTCCACATTTAGGACTACATTTGAGCTTTTCCTCTTCTGGGAACGCAAAATACGTCTTTGAGAGCTCCATTGCTCGGCTTAACAGATTCAGTGGTACCCCATGGTTCACGACCTGAAAGAAGCCGTACTCAGAGCAGGCTTGGCTAATAATTTCTTTCACTTTCTTCTTGCAGTTATCATCATCTTCATTGTTCAAGAAAGGAGAGAGATCGATTGTGGGGATAGCTAAGTTGGCCATATTGTTTTGACTTGCTATTGTATTCTCTTCTGCTTCTTGCTTTTCCCCCTGCAAATTTAAACCAATCAGTAGTTGCTTCAGGACAAAAGCACACACTTCCTTTCTCCAATGCCATGCCTACAGCATATTCTCTGGTAAAACTGGGACAGAAGATTAAAACATGAATATATTAATCTGAACACTTAATCTTCTTTTTCTGTCTTTTTCTTGATATGGAATATTGATGAGGAAGAATTAATGCTTTTGCTATTGCAGTATTCACAGCATTGAGGGATTTTTTTCCCCTTTTTTTCTGGGGGAGGGGGGCATGGGTGGGTGTTGTGGGGGTCATTCTATTTAGTGGGGCTGGTTGTACTAAAAGCTGTACTAGTACTGTTCTTCTCCGATACCGGATCTGGACGGTTATCAGTAATAATCGTTCAGAACAATGTAACATTTTTTTAATAAGGTATAACTCTACTTGAATTGTTTGTAAAATTTAACAGAGATGCAATTATTATATATGAGACCCACATAAACAGTAATAGAATATCACACCTCTATTGTAAGAATATACAAGAAGTTTACATAAATTACAACTAGTATTAGGAGTTGGTTGTGGTTATGGAACTCCGTAGTTATCTAATAGTTCCTTTATCCTGCACTATTCCTGAATTTGACAACCTGCTATAAATTTGTGATACTTGAATCAGTTCTGTTGTTGAAAATTTCACACTTTGGTGACTGATTTTAAAATTTGCAAGTCCTGCCATCTCAGACTTGGCTACTGCAGTTGGATCTGCAGGCATATCTACCATGGACTTAAGATGCAAAATGTAAAGATTGTTAGTTTAACTTTATGTTGTGCTCGGATGGCCATTTTTGTGGAAAAATATCACTTTGTGTTTTGGTTGAAGGGTTAGAAAACACGTTTGGATTGAATGTAGGTACTCTGGGGAGAAAATTTTTTGTCCTTCTAGTTCTTGGGGTCAGGTGGGGGCAGAAATCTGTTTAGATCCAGATTGTCAATGCCTCCATAATTTCCTTCTTTACAGACCTATTTCTACCGCCTGTTTAGCACGATTCCTCCATTTTCTTTGTTGGTTGTTTTACACATATCAAACCAATTTCTTCCTGATTGAAAGGGGATTTTTAAAAGGGGCATTTAGACATTGTGTGAATATGAGTGAAAAATTAATAAATTTTTTTAAACGCATGTATATATCTATTTGATTTCACTTGAGTAGTACAAATAACATGTAATATATTTCTATTTGATTTCTTTAGGCAAAATCAAATAGAGATATATTACATGTCATTTGTACTGTTTAGATGAAATCAAATAGATATATATATATATATATATATATTATTTTTTAAAAAAAAAACTATTCACACATATGATCAATGGGGGATGAAAAAATCTATTGTGAAAAATGTGAAGGATGGAAAAATTCATTTTATAAAATATAAGGGATGAAAAAATTCATTTTGTGATATATGAGGGACTATAAATCAAATTATATAAAATTTGATTTGATAATTTTGCTCTTATAAATGATCACGTGCAAGGCACGTAGTAAATTCCAACTAAAAACTAGTTGAAAATCAAGGTAGAGAGCAAATTTGATCCATGTGAATTTGTAAGGGATATAAAATTATACTTTTAAAAGTGAGGAATGAAAAAAGTCATTTTGCAAAATGTGAGAAATGTTTTAAACGATTTTCCCTTTAATTTATAACCACAGCTTAACGATTTTGGCATCCAACTCCATTTTTTAGTACATAACTAGGAAAGAAGTGCTCACGCATCATGCGGGTGTTTGGTGCATGTGATTAAAAAAGATTTTTTATGGAACAAATAATAATACATTCTAGAAAAAAATAGTCATCAAATATGACAAAACTAATAATAGTACATTCTAATTGCAACACACACTTGTACACCTTACTTTATTAATGTTTTTACAATTTTACCAATTTCAAAAGGCCCTTACAGATGTCAATTAAAAATTGCCCAAGAGCAGATATAAGTTGTTTCAGAGAAAGGAATGTCCTCCAACAGTTGGTTATAGCAATGTGTCTTTGTGTTAATTGCACAACAAAAGTCACACTTCAATCAAATGTGTTTATTGTACTATTTCCGTAATTACACCAACACATCAACTTATATGAGTTGTACTCGATGCAAAAACTGTTGCGCAAAATAATTTCATATTCCAAAAATACCCAAAAGTCTCTTTAAATCAAAGCTTTAAATGTACCAAAACGAGGACATTTCGGTAAATATATTCAAACACATGTTGCCTTCAATTGTACTAAAAGTTTTAAAAAAAACTACGTAACATTTCACATTTTCAAAAAATTCCTATCCATACTGTTGAAATTCAAACCCCTCATTTGATCAAAACTCATTCTTATATAATATAAGGAAATGTTCAAAAAATGTTACAGTGTTCAAGAACAGTGTTAAGATCAATCGTCCCTGCCTCACGTCTGTTCTTCTCATCCTGAGTAAGGATGAATCTGGATATTGGCAATTCTTGAAATCTGTACCTCCTGTTTGCGCACAAGTATACCTGGCAATTATGCCCAAAACCCAACAACCCATCCAACCCACCCACTAATTTCAAATGTTGGGTTGGGTAATTTGGGTGTTGGGTCAATTTTGGATTGGGTAATAAAAACCCAAATATATTTTGGGCGAATTGGGTATTTGTGTTGGGTACCCATTACCCAACTTCCACTTTCATTTGACAGAGATGTAAAACTTGTTCTTATACTATTGTCTTCTCTAGTTTGTGCAAATTATAAATATTACTATCCAGATTTCTGGTTAGCATCAAATTTGACTCTCAAGCGGATTAAAGTTTTTCTTGAATAAGAGAAGAATAATTTAAGTCTTGGCATTCTTCATTAAACTTTTACTAGAATTATCTTTCATGTTACACTATGAATTAGGTGACACCCATAACAAGGATCATAGGAATGGCCAACTAATCGTGAAGGATATATGGCATATTATGGAGTATAACACAAAAATGTTGAACGGAGGATCAAATGCCAAATTCTACTCATGATATATTCAAAATAAATTTCAGATGCAAATTTGGAAGTTATCTTTTAGGATGCAACATGATTCATTTTGTGTTTATTTCTAATTTCTAATTTCTCCATTTTACAACGGCTCAAATGTGTTATCATGCATGATTCTTTTGTATTTATTTTTTGGGTCAAAATTTCAGTTTATAACTTTCTTTAAAGTGTGATTGGGTCCAAGTAGTTTAAACAGTTAGTATGTGTGTGTATTTGTGAAAGTATATTAGTGTGTATTTTAGTGTGTTTGTATGTGTAAAAATAACGTATTTCAAAAGAACTTAAAAAGTGAGTGTGTGTTTGTATCTGTGAGTGTTTTAGTGTGTGAAAATATATCTATCTATGTGAAAATGTATTTATGTTTGTGAAATTTTTTTTTTTTGTATGTGAAAATATATTTGAGAGAGTTTATGTATCAAAATCTATTATTTAATATATTGGATCATATTTGGATCATGGGTTTGAGATAACCCAATATGACCCAACCCAAAATTAACTCAACCTAATATTGGACGGATTGGGTGTAATCCATTTAAATGAAAACCCAACATCAACCCGTCCAAAACCCGCCCAACCCGTCCAATATGACCCAATCCAAAATTAACCCAACCCAAAATTAACCCAATCTAATATTGGGCGGATTAGGTATAATCCATTTAAATGAAAACCGAACATCAACCCGCCCAACCCGTCCAATTGCCAGGTATACGCACAAGTTGCCAGAGACAAGGTAGAAATGTGAGAAAAAAATAGGATAATGCTCAGCCCGGATATACTTCTTTCTTCTTTTGTCAATATTTGGCTAGATATTATACTGGAAAAGATCATATGACAGAACTGCCAAGTTCTAATGGACAAGAACACTACCATGAGAATCATCCTCAAGCTGGGTATGGTATACTCGAATATTTTGCTTTCATGACGAACCAAAGTAAAATAATAATGGTCAGATAATAATTGGTTGTCACGTAATCATAACTGATAATGAGAAGATTTTGGCACATCATATTCCACTGTTTCTTCAATTTATTTGTCTGTTTCTTCTTGTCCTGTCCTGAGTAAGGTACGAATCTAAATGTTCCAAGATGCTCAAAATCTGCACCTTGTACTGATGCTTACACACAAAGTTGCCAGACAAGATTAGAAATGTGTGAAAAATTGGATGCTGCTCAACTGGTGTAACCATAATTTTTAGAGACTACATTATTTACTTCACTATACTTCTGTTGTCATAATTGGTCAGATCAATAATTGGTTGTTGAATTATAACTGATAATGAGAAGATTTTGGCTGTTCTAAAAGTTGGACTTCAGATCTGATAAGATGCCCAAGACACTTTAACCCTGTTTTGAAGCTGATCTATATTTAACAAGGTCATATAAGTTAGTCAAACTAAAATCTATTACATCCTCCCAAGCCAAAAGAATCTAGCATATAGCATGTCCAGGATGACAAAGCCATAACTTTAACTCTATAGAACATGAAAAAGAAGACGGTGAACTAAAAAGATCCACTCAGACTAAAGGTGAACAGGTCAAAGAACCACTAGTTGTAAAAACTAGAGTCCATTAAAGGCAGCAATCACCACTCTGCACCTTGTGTTCCTTGCAAAAGTAAAATCACCGCCAGACATCACTGGCAAACAAGTATCACAACCTAGGGACCTGCATCTGCATATTGAGTGACCTGATTGGCCTAATCCTCATCACCATTTTCATCTTCTTCATCATCATCTGGTTCATCGTCATCATCTTCCGTGTCATCACTACCCTTCTCCTGCAAAGGACCAATTCGTTAGATGTTGCAACAAAATCCGTAATATGCCTAGCTAGAAAACGGTTCTGGGAATGAATCACTGTATCTGATCCCCAAAAAGAATTGGACAAACAATACACTCCGTTTGCATGATTCTGAAGCGCATTTCTACCTCTTCAGCATATGTATGTACTGTAGCTAAGAGTGTAGCACGCACATTTGCAATCCAGAGTATATATTCTTTTACTCAAAATGCTCAACTCTTTACTAAAGTAGAGTTCACTAGATTAGCCAGTGCATTCTAAGTGGTACAA